AACAAGACTATTGCTCTTCAAAGTAAATTTACATGTTACAACATGATAATGCGTGGCTAAATGAGCTGAATAAAATTAAAATTATTTTATGACAACTATAAAATGTATTCGAGTATGTCAATATTCATTAAAAAATATAGAGGGCAGTCTAACATAGGATTAGGACAACTTTTGAAACCTAGTTATTTTGATATAATGACTTACTATTAACATTTTATCTGAATAACAGCAGCATTTATATATAAAAATACAGAGACAATATAATCCAAATGCTGCCGTAATATTAGAATATAAAAGACCATTTCATACTCTATTTAGTTTACTAATTCGTCATTAACCAATGTCAATGTTAATGATTCCATAAAAATAATAGGACTAAACAGAACACCGAAAATTTCTGAAATGAAAACAAGACATGCAAAAAAATAAAACAAACTTAACATGCACAATTACTACGAAAAAAAATTGGACAAAAAAAGTGACATCAAACATATGTACTATAGATTTAACAAGTTATTTAGTAGTAGCCTTCAAATGTGTTACGACGATGGTAGTGTCATGAACGTAATTACGTCACGAGTTACCTGCACATACGCAGATTACACTACATGATGTTCTGCCCTCTCTGAATTTCACGATTAGTGCATCTGTCCTAGCTCAATGCTTGAAAGGAACCACCCAACCCTTTCAAAAATAAAGACTTCAATGTTTTATAGTTTATTTTTTATTATATAAAGTTCCAAATTATTAGGGTACATGGATGATGCGATTTGTCCTGTAATTGAGATATTTTGGACTTATCGATGCTCTTGTGAACTTGTTTTTAAGTTAGTCAAGTAACAACACATCCACCTAACAATAACAATATTGATAATAAAATTAAGAATGATTTTTACAGTACAAAAAAATAATTCACACTATGAATCCTATCAACCAACACAATAAAAAAACATAATTATAATGATAATAATTAGCTACAAAATAGTTTGTAAGTAGATGCATCTAATTACCAGTCATTGTACCTGATTTTTGTTTGCTTTTTATGTTTAATTGTTGCGTGTCTGAAATTAAATACAGCCTGAAACATGTTACATAAAGAATGGAGTACATGGAGAAACTAAATGGAAGGAAGCCAAAAACATAACGGTATGTAACATTCGCTTTGTATTTCATAGGATTATAACTTATTTGAATACAAAATACTGTTAAATCGTTATCAATAATTAAATATTGGTAACATAAGTTTATATTTTTATTTAATTAATAACTAGAATTAAAATATACAGTACTGGTAGTGATTAAAATTATTAATATAACAATTAACCAATCAGATATGTAATATGTCATTCTAAATGTAATTACCAAATTTAGGACAATGCATATTATCATTATTACAATTCATTAAATAAGTAACACTATTACAATTAATTCTTTGAATTTAAGTAGCATAGCAATTGTAATACATAATGTTCATTATAAAAACAATATTTGTTACTTCAGTACAATATTAATTTTTTTTTTACAGAAAATTGAATTTTTCACCAGTATCAATATCCATAGTTAACAGTAAAAATACTAGATTTCTCCAAGAAACAATGTAACGAGAGATTGCATACTACAACATTGTATGCCCACTTTCATAGAATTCCAAAATTATTACCTTTTTTCACAAGCCCATGCTAACATCCCTAAAAAACAATGGTAGCACTTCCCTAATACTTACAAGCCAATTATAATACCCCTTTTTAAAGGCAATAGTAACACCTCCCCCATTCTTACTAGAAAACTTTATTATCCAATTTGCCAGAACCTGATAATACCGCTTGTTTCTGACCAGTGGCGTATCTAGAGGGGTGCATGGGAGGGCCCCTCTAAAAATTACTTGCTTCCCCCAGTTTCCCCACCCAAAAAATCATGGTCAAGTAGTTAAAAATCACCTAAAATCACCTTATTTTGTGAATTAACGCCCCTCATCGACCTCCCCCACTTCACCTTTGTGCCCCCATCAGCACCCCCATTTCAAGACTTCTAGATACGCCACTGTTTCTGACATGCCCAATGTAACCTCTCCCTTTTCAGTACCAAACCCTTAATAAATTTCTTTTCCATTTTTTTTTTATGATACTTGTTTTAAAATAATTCATAATTCATATTAAAAACTCATGATCTCTATGTATTGAAAAAAATCTAAACTCAAATGCTGACAACATAGATCTGAAAGACATTTTCCAGGACACATAATTATGAAACTTACACACAACTGTTCTACTATCGTAATATCAGGTTTAGTAAAAAAAAAAAACTTCAGATATTTCAAATTTGCAGTCGGGTTTTTGACACATTGTTTCAAGGAAAACATTAAATATTTCAAATTTTTAAATTTTTCTCAGAAGAAAAGGAAGCATAATACGTGATTTACAGAATATTATGTAAATAGGACCAACAAAACATATTTTTTATGTACATATACATGCATGTACATCAATATGTATATATTTCCATGTTGACATTCTGCTTACATATAGGTATAAAGACAGTATAAAAAGTACATTAACCTAGTTCCATAAACAATGGCAACACATGACAGCTAACCTTTGAATCAATAATATATATTTATATTACATAGCCTATGTAAATACGAGTACGTGACTGGTAGAAATGGCATCACGTGACTAGCGTTACGAGGATCGGAAACGTTATATTTCCCCGTAAGGAAATATAACTTTAAAAAGTGACCGGTCTTTGACGTCACCGGATTACACCCGCATTGCGCCCGTAGTGAATGCTAGTCGAGCGCACGATTGATCCCTCACGAATTGTGAATGCGTAAGCCTAGCGCTTCGAAAATGGCGATTTCAAATAGGCCTAAGTTTAAATCTCTCGACGAAGACAAATTGGATAGAGTTATTGATGAAAAAGATTCTCGGTGTACAAAATTCGTTGTGAATTCATTCGTTAATGTAGGCCTACTCAGTGAATATTGTAAGGCCAAGGAATCATCAATTAGGCCTAGGCCTACTTGCATTGAACATTTCACAGCAACGGAACTCAACACGTTTCTCCGGTCAATCTTCGCTGAGGTAAGGAGAGCAAACGGTGAATTGTATGCAAAACTATCAATGATAACGCTACGCTACGGACTACAGAAACATTTTTAAAAAGTGACGGTAATATGAAGTAATTTGGCTATGTAATATAACAGATATTGTTTAAAAGTTAAATAAAAGTTCTTGATATTTTAAGTAATGTGTTCAGTTAATTATTTGCATCTATTTTTGGCTATGTAATATAACAGATATTGCCTTTTCTATCAGTGTAATAACAACATTTGATATCCCCTTGGAAATTATATTTTTTTCTCAGGGCTATATTTTCCCGCAGCGCTATGCGCTTCGGGAAAATATATTCCCTCAAAAAAAATATAATTCCCTCAGGGATATCAAATGTTATATTACACCTCTAAGCAGGCAATATCTGTATAATATATATAAATTATCAAAAAAAGTAGTGTTTAAATAGACGATATGATGGTACATCCTGTAGCACAGCTCTAAACGAATGTTGTCCCATTAATAAATAAATACATTGTGTAATAAAATGCCTCTAATGGGATTTGAACCTGCGATCTCTTTACCATTAGACCACAGAGGCTTCATGGTTAAACAGATTCAAATAACTGCCAGGTACATTGTATTACAAAATGGTGCGCCACAAGAGGGCGTTAAACCAGATAAAAATCTGGAGGTATGGCTGGAAATAAATAGTAACATATAATACAAATCAATATAGCCATTAACACTGTTAAATTATATATAAATCATCAAAAAAAGGTAAACACAGTGTTCGAATAAAGGACATATATATATACATACATACACATATACACACATATATATATATATATATATATATACATATACATATATATACATATACATATACATACATATATATATACATATACATA